TGTTGGCCGGATACTTGAAGTGAAACCACCTCTGTGTAATCCCTAAAACATGAGCGCAGTGCTCCAAAGCAGGAACATGGGCTCTGTGGGAGTCAGGGTAGAGCATTATTCAGGGGTGAAGAAGAAAAGAGAACAAAATGAATTTATATATATATGAAAATTAGGTTTACTGCACTTGAACCACTTTCAGTGCCTGTTTAGTTCTATATGAGTCTTTATGTCTCTCTGTCTCAGGGAACTGAAGCACAGGACCATGAAGGAACCCGATGAGCCAAAGTTTCAGCTGCAGGAGTACGTCGACAAAGAAATGAGGACCGCTGGCTGCTGCCGCTCATAGACCACATCCTACTTGTGTGCGTGTGTGTGCGTGTGTGTATTTGTGCAAGAGAGAAAGACAGCAGGAGCACTCTCTTACACTATGTAATAAGTTTGAGTTGGTGTACCTGGAAATGGCCTGAAATTCTCAATGTTTATATTTCTCTGCGGCCAATACGCTCTCTCTCCCGACCCACCTTCCCTCTGCGACTGTGAATGTAATATAATTCCTGTCTCCAAGCTTGCACATACACATGCATGTCTGCGCACAGACGCCATGTTTGTAATCCCGTTTAATCCATTCTGTGCCAGTTTCCATGAGTGATGTAAATATTTTAAATGTAATTCTAATTTTGTGCTCTGGAAGCTTTGTTGTTTATAGATGCCTGTCTTATTAAAAGAAACTCTACAGACGTAACAAGGCTGAATATTAAATCAGTCTGACTAGAATAACAGAAACCAATTTGTACAAACCACCATTGCACATAATGTAAGCTGTCATTCTGCACTACAGTACATGCTGTTTATGTACAGGATACCATATAATAACGGTTTTAATAACACTGATGTGTCTGTGACCCACTCGAGCTAGCGACCTTTTGTACACCGTTTAAGTTTGATGTTAGAACTGTGTGATATATTTCTAACATGAATAAATCTCCAGCGGTGATAAATGTATACAACAACACAATCAGCAAAGGACAGCAGACCTACAATGGGACATGTATCTTCCTGAGAAATGATGGAGTTGTTCCAGAAAAATCATTTTCTAGATGTTGATCTGTTTTCAGGAAATTAAAGAAAAGGACAAATGCTTTTTGCAACAAAAAACAACCGCATTTGTGTGAAGTCTGCTGTTAACCTGCATAGCAAAAAAAAAACATTACAAAAAACAGTTGAATATTGTGTGTGAAAAGCGTATTTGCCATCGCATATTTCTTCCCCGAACCTTGAACGGGACCTTACACATATAGTTTTGTGCAAAAGCCTTGATGCACCACTCAATTCTTTACATTTTGTTAGGAAAATGTGAAACAGCTGCAATGATTTATTGAAATGTGTGCAAAGATGCATGGAAATAT